TATCCAAGATGGCGCCTATCACTCGCTGTATCTGGGCATTGTCTGGTCCTCCCGGTTCTGCGCAGTGGAGGATCTCCCATGATGATGTGTGTTCCTCTCGTGCACGTCCACAGAAGTGCTCGGCCGCGCTTTGACCAATCAGGCTGCTCATCAGAGCGGAGCTAGAGCGGGAGTTAGAGTGAGAGCCGAACGAGCAGAGTTTGTGGCAATAAAGTGTGGATTTAAAGAAAACCAAGGGATTTAAGAAGAAAAAATGTTCAGGATGACAAGGGACACTAAAATCCCCACAAAATCTGACCTTTCTGAAGGCTGTAGATGCTCTGTCAGGTTCTCTGTCGGGTTCTCTGTCAGCTGAGGTTGAGCTGTTTTAGTTTACACAGGGCTCCCCCCTGGACTGCCACCTTAACGTGGTGGGGGAGTTTGAGTACTCGGATGATCCTGGGAGCTATGCTGTCTGGGGCTTCATGCCCCTGGTAGGGCCTCCCATGGCAGACAGGTCTCGGGTGACGAGTCAGACAAAGAGCAGTCCAGAAGACACCATGGACAGCACTCAAAAGAAATCAGTGACGTCGCCCGGCATGGCGCAGCCGGGGCCCCACCCTGGAGCCAGGCCTGGGGTCGGGGCTCGTAGGCGAGCGCCTGGTGGCCGGGCCTTAGCCCACGGGGCCCGGCCGGGCTTAGCCCGAATGGACGACGTGGGCAGTCCCTCCTGTGGGCTCACCACCTGCAGAGGGGTCCGTGGTGGCATGGTGCAGAGAGGACTGGGCAGCAGTCGAAGGCGGAGACCTCGACGACCCAGTCCGCACACACAACAGCTGGCTCTCGGGACGTGGAACGTCACCTCACTGGGGGGGAAGGAGCCCGAGCTCGTGGGGGAGGTTGAGCGATACCGACTAGAGATAGTCGGCCTCACCTCCACACACAACTTGGGCTCTGGAACCCAACTCCTTGAGAGGGGTTGGACGCTCCACTTTTCTGGTGTTTCCCGCGGGGAGAGGCGGCGAGCTGGGGTGGCCATTCTCATTGCCCCCCATCTCAGCCGCCACGTGTTGGAGTTCTCCCCGGTGAATGAGAGGGTCGCGTCCCTCCGCCTCCGGGTGGGGGATAAGTCTCTCACTGTTGTGACGGCCTACGGGCCTAACAGCAGTGCAGAGTACCCGGCCTTCTCTGAGTCCTTGGGAGGGGTACTGGACGGTGCACCGCCCGGGGACTCCGTTATTCTCCTGGGGGACTTCAACGCCCATGTGGGAAACGCCAGTGACACTTGGAGAGGGGTGATCGGGAAGAGCGGCCCCCCTGATCTGAACCCGAGCGGTGTTCAGTTGTTAGACTTCTGTGCCAGTCACAGTTTGTCCATCACGAACACCATGTTCGAGCACAAGGGTGTCCACCAGTGCACGTGGCACCAGGACACCCTAGGCCGGAGGTCGATGATCGACTTTGTTGTCGTATCATCTGACCTTCGACCGCGTGTCTCGGACACTCGGGTAAAGAGAGGGGCGGAGCTGTCAACCGATCATCACCTGGTCGTGAGTTGGATCCGCTGGCAGGGGAAGAAGCCGGTCAGACCTGGCAGACCCAAGCGTATAGTGAGGGTCTGCTGGGAACGTCTCGCTGAGCCCCCTGTCAGACGGACTTTCAACTCACACCTCCGGGAGAGTTTCTCCCAGGTCCCGGTGGAGGAGGGGGACATGGAGTCCGAGTGGACCATGTTCTCTGCCTCAATCGCCGATGCGGCGGCTCATAGCTGTGGTCGCAAGGTCTCTGGTGCTGGTCCCGGCGGCAACCCCCGAACCCGGTGGTGGACACCGGCAGTAAGGGATGCTGTCAGGCTGAAGAAGGAGTCCTATCGAGCCATGATGGTTCGGGGGACTCCTGAGGCAGCTGTCCAGTACCGGCAGGCCAAGCGTGCCGCGGCCCGGGCTGTTGCAGAGGCAAAAACCCGGGACTGGGAGGAGTTCGGAGAGTCCATGGAGCATGACTATCGGTCGGCCTCAAAGAAATTCTGGCAAACCGTCCGGCGCCTCAGGAGGGGGAAGCAGTTCTTTGCCAACACCATGTACGGTGCGGGTGGAGAGCTGCTGACCTCGACTGGGGATATTGTCGGGCGGTGGAAGGAATACTTTGAGGTTCTCCTCAATCCCCCCGTCACGTCCTCTGTTTCAGAGGCAGAGGCTGAGGATGTTGGGGCGGATACATCCATCTCCCTGGCTGAGGTCACCAAGGTGGTTGGTAGCCTCCATGGTGGCAAGGCTCCGGGTGTGGATGAGATCCGCCCTGATTATCTAAAGTCTCTGGATGTTGTAGGACTGTCTTGGCTGACACGTCTCTGCAACATCGCGTGGCGATCGGGGGCGGTGCCAATGGAGTGGCAGACCGGGGTGGTGGTCCCTCTCTACAAGAAGGGGGACCGGAGGGTGTGTTCCAATTATCGTGGGATCACACTCCTCAGCCTCCCCGGTAAGGTCTACTCCAAGGTACTGGAGAGGAGGCTACGGCCGATGGTCGAATCTCGGATCCAGGAGGAGCAGTGTGGTTTTCGTCCCGTCGCGGAACACTGGACCAGCTCTATACTCTCCATCGGATACTCGAGGGTTCATGGGAGTTCGCCCAACCTGTCCACATGTGCTTTGTGGATTTGGAGAAGGCGTTCGACTGTGTTCCCCGGGGTGTCCTTTGGGGGGTTCTCCGGGAGTACGGGGTCGGGGGTCCTCTGCTGAGGGCCATCCGGTCCCTGTATGACCGGAGCCAGAGCTGTGTTCGCATTGCCGGCAGTAAGTCAGACCTGTTCCCGGTGAATGTTGGCCTCCGACAGGGCTGCCCTTTGTCACCGGTTCTGTTCACTGTAATTATGGACAGAATATCTAGGCGCAGCCAGGGGTCGGAGGGGGTCCGGTTCGGGGACCACAGGATTTCATCTCTGCTGTTTGCGGACGATGTTGTCCTGTTGGCTCCAACGAACCAGGACCTGCAGCATGCACTGGGACGGTTTGCAGCCGAGTGTGAAGCGGCTGGGATGAGAATCAGCACCTCCAAATCTGAGGCCATGGTGCTCGACCGGAAAAAGGTGCCTTGCCCTCTTCAGGTGGGTGGAGAGGTCCTTCCTCAAGTGGAGGAGTTCAAGTATCTCGGGGTCTTGTTCACGAGTGAGGGAAGAATGGAGCGTGAGATTGACAGGCGGATCGGTGCAGCGTGCGCAGTGATGCGGTCGCTGTATCGGACTGTTGTGGTAAAGAAGGAGCTGAGCCGAAAGGCAAAGCTCTCGATTTACCGGTCAATCTTCGTTCCCTCCCTCACCTATGGTCATGAGCTTTGGGTAATGACCGAAAGAACGAGATCGCGGATACAAGCGGTCGAAATGAGCTTCCTCCGCAGAGTGGCTGGGCGCTCCCTTAGAGATAGGGTGAGGAGCTCAGTCACACGGGAGGAGCTCGGAGTAGAGCCGCTGCTTCTCCACGTCGAGAGGAACCAGTTGAGGTGGCTCAGGCATCTGTTCCGGATGCCTCCTGGACGCCTCCCTGGGGAGGTGTTCCGGGCACGTCCCACCGGGAGGAGGCCCCGCGGAAGACCTAGGACACGCTGGAGGGACTATGTCTCTCAGCTGGCCTGGGAACGCCTTGGGGTCCCCCCGGACGAGCTGGAGGAAGTGTGTGTGGATAGGGAAGTCTGGGCGTCTCTGCTTAGACTGCTGCCCCCGCGACCCGGCAACGGATAAAGCGGAAGAAAATGGATGGATGGATGAGTTCTATATGGAAGATTTCTGGGTAGTCCAATTTAGTCTGGTTTAGTCAGTACCGCGAGAATCCCCCGAGCACATGGGTCCTTGAGCTCCAAACTACTAATACCCTATCCAGTTATTACAGTAGATCCATGGGTAATTCCAATAATATGTTTTTCACTGCATATTATTCATTTTATACTTAATCCAAGCTGTTGAGAAACTGCTAGAGGTTCTACCAATCGCAGTATTTGAACATTGCAATGAAAGTTTGCTTCGAAGTACAACCAGCCTCTGTTGACATGTACATTTCTCGTGTGTGAGATCATTACAGTCTATTATCTTATTTTTACAGGGTTGTTTTGTTTGCTGATGTTATCATCTGTTGACTGAAGGTGGAGGGAACTCAGGTAAGAGTGATTCTCAAATGTTCTTGTGGTTTTAGGTGTGTCGCGGAAATAGCATTGACTGCAACAATAACCAAATTGTGTTTCCTCGATCAGACACAAGTCCAGAGGCAGAATTTAGGATGTGCAGCAGAGACTGGTTGTAACTTAAGTATTACACAGTTTTGACATGAAATATTATGAATTTGCTCATTTTGTTCATTAAGAGCTGAAAAAACCTTCACTTTTGTTGTCAGATATCATTATTTGTGTTGTCATTTTACTGAACATGTGTTTCTGTTTGGACAGAGGTGTTTCTCATCTGAACAGTGCTAATTCTTCTCTCTCCTGCTTATGGTTTTAAATATCTTTCTTTCAGTAAAAATACATTGAACATCAGTACAATACGTTACATAATATATAAAACATTAGGTGTTAAATATGTTAGAAATTAATTTTAGTGATGATGACCTAAGATTCTGAGTAATGCTGTGATAAAGCTAAATTAACGGGTAATCATTACTGGAGTTCATCAGTGATCGTTCTGCAAAAACTAAAGATTCTGCGTTAACATGACATAAAGCTTTAGGTTTTTGGATTTTGTAAAAACTTAAAATCTTTGCAATCGGTTACCCAAAACGGCTTTAGTAATGATAACTAGTTTGGGGTTATAGTGTTACACATTCTATTACAACTGTTGAGTATGATTATTATCTATCTATATATATATATATATATATATATATATATATATATATATATATATATATATATATATATATGTTTGAAACACAATTGTTTCTTAATGCCATTTTCCATAAGAATGTTTTTCATTTTGTAGTTATTTGTAATATCCTAATATATCCATAATTCTGTAGTATGTATAAGTATGTATAATATATAATATATCCTCCTCGTTCACCAATTCTAGAAGTCACAGTACAGCCTATACCTGTGCACTCACAATCTGACAGTGGTATGTTGGATTTGGTGACTCAAAATTGACTCCATATTCCACACCTGATGGCATAAGATTTCTTATACAGGCCAAATACTTTGCACAAACCTGTTCCTGTAAATAATCCTAGTCTTAACACATCATTACTGTAATTCCCAAATGCAATCTCGCTGTGTACACAGAGGCGTGCATTCAACAGCAAGCTACATCAGTGCGGACCTCTTGCCCCTTTAAGCCCGTGACCAAAGCGCCCTCTGGCTGGACTCACTCTCCAGGCATAGAACATCTCCGCCGGCTCTGCACTGACACAGCGCATCCTCTCCTGCACACGGTGCTATACTCCACGAATCACAGTTTGTGTAAATCTGACGACAGTAAATCAAATGCTCAAGCTTTTTCACAGGCTTCAGACGATCGAGTCAGCTGAACGAGAGCTCCAATGTAGACGCGCGGATGGCGGTTACCCACTGGAGCACAATGAATGGTAAATAGATTCAACGGAAGGATACAACGCTGCGCATAGTGTGGATATATATTATATTTGACGAAGAGAAGCTGCTTTTTTGAAACATTGGACATGTCGAGATATGCTGGTTCCGAGATCTCCATGTCTTGGATGGTGAGATCTGCGTAGGAGTGCTTTATTTCACGCGCAGTGGTGTTGGTTACCGTCATCCATCGTTCAAAAAACTCCAGACAAGCGCCGTGGGTCTAACCGAAGGACTGAGTGCGCGCAAAAGTACCCTGCATTGGACTACAAAGAAGAATGCTTGGGATTAAAATACAGTGCGTTGATATTGCGCCTGTTGAGGAGAGAGTAGAGACGCGTTTTTAACTTGAGTCACTGTTTGAACGTACGTGTCAGTTCCATCGTCATTACTGAGTTTCCGTGAGTATTTACTGACAGAATTCAAAACAAAGAAACACGACAACGAATACTAAAGGGGTTGAGACCTGTTCTCCCTGGAGTCACCAGCTCTGTATGCGGCCAGCTTCCTTTTGTCTCTGAAGGTAAGAACAATACATCATATTATGCTGAGTCCGTAAAGTGTATTCAATTGAGCAGTGAGCATTGAAGAAGTTCATCTTTAGAATGTTCGTAGAACTCCAACCATATTCAGCTTCATCAAATATTGTGTGGCCCGCGTCAAAAAATGTTATTTGCAACCCTAAACACAAACTCTATTCACACGACCATATCATTATTAGTGACTTAATTACAAAGAGAAGCATCAAGCTGTTTACCGTGGCCTGTTTCTATTTCCAGTTGACTTATTATCTCAGTTTGTTGCTTGGAATCCCAAGAAATTGAACCCATTAAAAGCAGGAACAGGATCGTTAGGGTCTATATGGAAATGCATTTAACTTGCTTGATAAATGTGTGGTTGGGTTTCAGCACTCTGGACAGCTCCATAGCTCTTTCATTATGTTGCTTTGAAGTAGAAATGTGGTTTCTTCTTTCTGATTCCACCCTCAACATTTATAATTGATTTCAATCCATATAGTAAACTTTCAGGATGAGGGGGGTAGACCTCCAGTATTTGGAAGAACAGGTGTGAGGGGGAGAAAGAGCTGATGGAAAGGTTGAAGTCTAAGTAGGAGCTTTGTATTTCAGACTGTCTGTGCGCCACATGCTGACACAACAGCAAGGCTTGCGCTACAGCTACTGTCACCAACTGTTAGCCATGGTCATATCCAAACTGCTCACCCATCTTATTCTTAGGTTGGGTGAAAATGCATCAGAAGCACGTTAAAGCCATGATGAAGGGGAAAATATTGGATTGACTGCATTTAGGTACATTTTAGAGACGATTCAACACAATTTCTGTTGTGGAATAAAAGCTAATGTCACTTTACATTGCTATGATCAATCGCTTCCATTATGGGGGGATTGTACGGTATGTGTGGAGCTGGAACTTCCATTAAATGAAACATAATTCGAAATTCATAATATTTAAAGGTATGTATAAATGTGGCCAAAAGTGGTACTGCAGCCTCTCCCACTGTCCCTGACTCAGGTTGCCAGATATGTAGACAAATCCAGCTGGGACCATAACAGCTGAATAGACAAGAGTTTTGTCAACAACAAATCTATAACCAACACCTTTTTCACAAAGGCCTTGATTTGCAAATCATTCTGAGGCTGCAAAACAAATGTGGAATTCCAATATATCGGCTGAACTACAGTTATCAGTTAAAGAATTATTCAGCATGGTGCATTAATGGTTCATTAATGCCTTTTGAAATATTAGGGCTATTTAATGATGACTTGAGATGAAATTCTTACATATTGCTACTTTAACTTGATGAAATAAAGCCTGAAGCAGGATAATCTCAAAATATATATTTTCCAACCAAATGCTTTGGAGCTGTAGCTCTTTTTTAACTTACAAATGAACGCTAACAAATGGATACTGCTTGTAAAACTTATATTACTGTTTCCTATCTTGATCTTGTTTTGTTATGAGTGCCATAAGGAGTCGCTTTCTGACATTAATATAATATACTATTATACTATATATAATAGTTTAAGAAGCTCTCCAATGAGTACAATTTCTCATCAAGACAATACAGATAATGAATAAACAATTCAACTCAATTTAATTCAATTAATTCAGTGGAAACTGGAAGTTTGTAATGAAAAAAGTAGGTTTTTTTAGTTCTTTAATTTAGTCCTTTTACCTTTACCACAAAAATGTTTTTGTTATTTGTCTCTTGTGTTTTTTTTTGCAGATTGCAATTTTTGGTGAAAGACAAAAATATCACAATAATATCAATATTGCAATACTAGAGAATTGTAAAAAATGTAAAAAAACAAAAACAAATCAAAGTCAGTTAATGGCTCAGGTGTATAGGAGGAATGTGTTATGATTAGGGCTGCCAAAATGATCGCGTTAACACACATTAAGTAATGTTTTTAATTAATCACATTTTAAAAATAACACATTTAACGCAGTGTACAAATGACCCGCCCATGCATCCCATAATAACACTCAGAATGCCGCGAACACATGCGACGGATGGCGACAGAGCAGGTGGACTCTGGGGATTCAAGTCTAAAAGAATATGTTCGTGACCGCGGGAAACTTGTTGCTGTTTGTTCTGAACGAGAGTCTGCATCCTTTGTGTCCGCAGCGTTCTCCACAACACACCTCTGAAGCTGCGGAGCCTCAGTCTCCTCCGTGTCTCCTCCCGAAGCGCACTCGCTAAATTAAAGCTGGGGTATCTAATTTGTACCTTCCACTACCAGTTCATGTTGGTTGTTCCGAAAAGTAAAATGTTGTGAGCAAATCAAACAGATTTAATCACATTCTGCATTTCAGATTAAATGTCCTCATCTGTAACAAACAATAGTTTTGGTCTGAGTCTAAACAGAAAGACAGAATGTTAATAATTTTAATGCCATTTTATATGGATTTATTGTCATTATAAAAATCAAATACATATGTTCACTGTCTTTTATCTTTCCATTCAAACAACCATTTAAAGAAAAATATGGCATAATTTTGCCAATAGTTAGAAATGCGATTAATTATGATGAATTAACTTTTAAGCTGTAATTAAATTGTTTTGTTTTGTTTTATAATCGTTTGACAGCCCTCGTTATGACATATTAAAGTACTGAGAGCTAAACATGAAGAATAGAAATTGTATATATTTGTCTTATTTTAATATGTTTTGAAAAAAACACAACCACACAAACCTTTGAGGAAACCTTTGTAAGTAAGTAAGTAAGTAATCTTTATTTATATACCGCCTTTTCACTGCAGATCTGAGTCTCAAAGCGGTTTACAATTGTTAATTTTGGGCACTTGTCTCTCACTCCTCACAGAGATGGGAGGGGCCAGTACAGGAGGCGCATGCCAGAACTATTGTATTGTATTTGTAAATGCAACAGTCTCGTTAGAGTGGATAGTCTCGTTAGAGAGGATAGTCTCGTCAGAGGATAGTCTCGTTAGAGTGGATAGTCTCGTCAGAGGATAGTCTCGTTAGAGAGGATAGTCTCGTCAGAGGATAGTCTCGTTAGAGAGGATAGTCTCGTCAGAGGATAGTCTCGTTAGAGTGGATAGTCTCGTCAGAGGATAGTCTCGTTAGAGAGGATAGTCTCGTCAGAGGATAGTCTCGTTAGAGTGGATAGTCTCGTCAGAGAGGATAGTCTCGTCAGAGTGGATAGTCTCGTCAGAGGATAGTCTCGTCAGAGAGGATAGTCTCGTTAGAGAGGATAGTCTCGTCAGAGGATAGTCTCGTCAGAGGATAGTCTCGTCAGAGAGGATAGTCTCGTTAGAGAGGATAGTCTCGTCAGAGGATAGTCTCGTCAGAGGATAGTCTCGTCAGAGAGGATAGTCTCGTTAGAGAGGATAGTCTCGTTAGAGAGGATAGTCTCGTCAGAGGATAGTCTCGTCAGAGAGGATAGTCTCGTTAGAGAGGATAGTCTCGTCAGAGGATAGTCTCGTTAGAGAGGATAGTCTCGTTAGAGTGGATAGTCTCGTCAGAGAGGATAGTCTCGTTAGAGAGGATAGTCTCGTTAGAGTGGATAGTCTCGTTAGAGTGGATAGTCTCGTCAGAGAGGATAGTCTCGTTAGAGTGGATAGTCTCGTCAGAGAGGATAGTCTCGTTAGAGTGGATAGTCTCGTTAGAGTGGATAGTCTCGTCAGAGAGGATAGTCTCGTTAGAGTGGATAGTCTCGTCAGAGAGGATAGTCTCGTTAGAGAGGATAGTCTCGTTAGAGTGGATAGTCTCGTTAGAGTGGATAGTCTCGTCAGAGAGGATAGTCTCGTTAGAGTGGATAGTCTCGTCAGAGAGGATAGTCTCGTTAGAGTGGATAGTCTCGTTAGAGTGGATAGTCTCGTTAGAGTGGATAGTCTCGTCAGAGAGGATAGTCTTTAGGTTGGACTGTTGAAAATCGCTGAGAATAGCTTGATTGAAAACAGTGGTCATGTTTTCCAAAATATAAACCCTAAGATTTCTGGCAGAGGTCTATGTATTTCCACGTTGCTCTCCTGGCATGAGGATGGATGAGTCAGAATCAGGGTCAAACAAAGTTAGTTTGTCTTGCTCTCATCAAACTGGAAAAAAATGTTGGTCAACAGTTACTTTTCTTTTTTCTGTATGTAAACTTTCAGCTTCCAATATGTATCTCACATTATAATATTCAAGTTAAAAGTTATTTTTTTCTGATTTTGTAGGCGAGTAACACTTGCATGTTGTGGTCTCAAAAATAGCAACATTAAACAGAATGACACTGTGTCCGTGATACACTGTGGTTTTTACTATTGGCCACAACATTGAAAGTCGAGGAGGGGCTCATGTTTCTGTAACGTTTCCAACTGTGACCCTCACACCAACCTCGGCCTCATGGGAGCTCAGTCACACATGCAGTAACACAGGTCTTTTTTGTCACAAAGAGGAACATTAGAAATGTACAGAAGGAAGAAAGGTAAAATGAATGAATACAATTTATTATCCTCTCAAAAAAAAATCTCACATAGCATCTTAATTACTTATAAGGGATCTGTAATCATGACAAATTGGTTGGAGGGAAGCATCGTGATGGGGGAAGGGGAAATGGGTGCTTCCAGTGATCGTGTTAAACAGTCACCACCCGCCTAGCCCCTCCCCCCACAGCTATTCCCCCATTACACTGAGTGATTGTAAAATGTGAGGCTGGACAGGAGGCACTTGCTGTCAGTGGGTTTTCACAGCACATATGGCCATAGGTCCAGAGATGTACTTCACTTTTACTTCTTGAAATGTTGTCAGTGTTCTAATGAATGCTTGAGAGAAATTACTAGATCAATCAAAAATGTCTCTAACCCCCTTGAATGATGACATAACAACTGAATTTCATTACAATTGAAAAACAATGCATGCATAACAATATGATGAGCACGGTGGCTGAGTGGATAGCACTCTTGCCTCTCAGCAAGAAGGTCCTGGGTTCGAATCCCGGTCGGACCAGGGCCTTTCTGAGTGGAGTTTGCATGTTCTCCCCGTGTCTGCGTAGGTTTCCTCCGGGTACTCCGGTTTCCCCTACCACTAAAAAAATATGTCCAATAGTTCTAGCATGCGCCTCCTGTACTGGCGACCCCGCTCCCATCTCTGTGTGGAGTGAGAGACAAATGCCCAAAATTAACAATTGTAAACCGCTTTGAGACTCAGATCTGCAGTGAAAAGGCGGTATATAAATAAAGATTACTAATTACTTACTAAAGTGACCATAAATCAGCGTTACCACTGATCTGGCCTTCTCTAAGTCACAACGACCCGATTGTGTATCCATGTTATGACTCTGATATGTTCTGATTGTCTCCTGATGCGACACGTTTGCCTTTCTATGTGTGACGTGTCTGTGACGTAACGAATGACTATAAACCATGTTCTGACTTTGTTCTGTCTGAAAAAACTGCAACAACTGAAGCCTGAAGGAAGCTGAATAAACTTCCAGACAGCTCTGGTTTGCCACGATCCCATTTCTGCGAGGCTAATTTTCCACACTATGAACAGAAGTTGTCTTGCCTTCACTGTGCCGCTGTTTAAGTGGATCTGCTCGCTGTGAGTAAATGTGCTTGGATGAGAATATTTCACAATGTATGAGATGTAATGTATTCAGAGTTTTTCTATAAAGAATTGTGGAAGATCAAGAAAATGACAAAGTCTGGGATTGCGTCTTTAATTCAGACAGAAGACACGTTTTATTGTCTATGGTAGAGACAGCACGAACAACGACAGAATGCAAGTGTATTATACAGGATGGAGGGATGCAGTCCTCCAATCAGCAGCTGCCACGGTGCCCTGTAGCTTGGCCTTCATAAGTCAAAACAAGGGAAAAGTACTGGCTCGTGTAATAAGGGTGAGTTTGAACTTTAACAAAAGTTGCTTCAAAGTGTTATGAAATCACAAAGATGTATTATATTAATCCCAGTATTAAATCCTCATACCGAGTTGTCCTTGGAGGGGTGACATGGGAGTTATGTTTTGTGATTTTCTTAAATGTTGTCCATTTGATTTTCAAACAGTGAAAGCACACACTTCACTTTAATCCTTATGTGTTGTTCCTGTCATCATTAGTATTCACATGCACGTGTGGTCACTAACACAACCATTCAGCTGCCAAAAGCCTCAATGGGTTTTGGGGCTGTTTTATATCGTTTGTTGCAGTTCAAATGTAAATGTGTTACATCTATTTTGCCTGTGAGCAGATGCTGAGATTAGTAAGTTGTCAATGTTGGTTACAGACAATTCTTAAAGTTACAATTTGGATATGAGTAACCTTTTTAAACAAAATAAATACCAATACAATTGGTGAGCTCCTACATGAAAAACTATATGTAAATTGTTTAATCTATCTCTACAAATCAATATTTGAAAGTGTGTTTGTGATTTTTAATTGTTTGACCGCACGTTTAAGTAAGTAAGTAAGTAATCTTTATTTATATACCGCCTTTTCACTGCAGATCTGAGTCTCAAAGCGGTTTACAATTATTAATTTTGGGCATTTGTCTCTCACTCCACACAGAGATGGGAGCGGGGCCAGTACAGGAGGCACATGCCAGAACTATTGGACATATTTTTAGTGGTAGGGGAAACCGGAGTACCCGGAGGAAACCTACGCAGACACGGGGAGAACATGCAAACTCCACTCAGAAAGGCCCTGGTCTGATCGGGATTTGAACCCAGGACCTTCTTGATGAGAGGCGAGAGTGCTAGCCACTCAGCCACCGTGCCGCTCTGTCCTCCAAGAGAACATTAAGAAAGCAATGGATAGACTGTACTGAAATTTAATGCAGTCCAGTTGGACTAATAACAAGCCGACCAGCCAAAGATTTGTTTTGTTATTAACATATAAAATTAGTACAATGTATAGTTAAATTCTAATGTACACGCATTTATCTTTTAAGACTGAAAATCAACTTTTCAGACGTTTCTTTAGACACTTGAATTAGTTCAGCACTTTCACCTTTCATCATTATGAAATCATAAGTTGACTTTTTTATTGATGATCTCCCTCTTACTTTTTTTTCTTCATGTTGCTGTGCGTCAGATGATACCTGACATTAGAATGTTATTTAAGTTATCATTTTGGTAAATCACATGTGGCTAAACTATATTGTAGAAAGCTTGGATTGTGATTCACTTTTGGCTCCGGGAAGGCTCCAGGACGTCGGTGTTATAGTCATATGTTAAAACAGGCTTTTGAACATGTCATTGTTCCTTGCTCTGTTGCTTCTTCCTTTCCTATCTGCAGATGATCTTGTGTCCTTTCCTATCTGCAGATGATCTTGTGTCCTTTCCTATCTGCAGATGATCTTGTGTCCTTTCCTATCTGCAGATGATCTTGTGTCCTTTCCTATCTGCAGATGATCTTGTGTCTTCTAGTATGAAAGGAGCTACAGACTCTTTGAGCTTCAGATCAGTTCTGACAGAGGCCGATCTGTTGTGCTCTGTCTCTGTCAAGACATTTCTCCTTACTGGGTAACAAGTAAAAGATTAACTCTGTCTGTTTGTTGTGTGAGATGTTGTCAGATTCTTCTGTGATTAAATATCAGCATTAACAATACTGATACATACTGATAGTATGTGGTATTGTGTCTAGTGTTCTATATGAGGGCAGACATGTACTGTTTTAGAACGAAAAAGGCCAAGCATTTCCACTGACAAGCAAATGTTTCTTCAGTCAGACAGAGAGCTGCAACTGTTCAGTTATTTTTTCCTCATGAACAAATGTGGTTGAGAATTAAATGTAAAAGAAGCCACACAGCGATCTATCTATCTTTTGTCAGAGGAGCATTTCAGATGTCATTATGGCTGATGTTAGCTGAGGTGATGACTTGGGCCTCATGACCAAGGCCGTCCATGGTCACGAGGCCCAACTCCAATCATACTAAAGCTGCAGTGAGAGAGATGCAGCGTGTGGCGAGAGTAGTGGGCAGAAGAGGACAGTATAGGAGTATAAGGCGCTGGCTACATGCCGAGAGCACAAAGACTTATGGGGGATGAAGGGGAGAGTGCAGCCGCGGGGGCACAGCTGCTCCTCTGGGCGGACCAGACTGAGGACATGCTTTATGGAAGGCTCTGGTCCAGACTGTGCCTGTATGGCTGTCAGACGTGCAGATCAGCACCAGTGGATGCAACTGAGAGCTGAGATAACCAGGTCACAACATCATCATTTAACATTCAGGATGCCACCTCTTGTTGCTCTACATTTTTCCTGACATCAGGCCAATGTGAATGTGCACATGTGAAGCCACAGTCTCCTGTGTCCCAACAGCCTCCACTGTACTGCTAATGACGTTTCAGACTCAATATTGTGCATTGGGTATATAAGGTTACATGTCCCTGATGGGGTTAAGGACCCTTTATGCCGCGTTCAGACCCGATCATGCGTTGCGTCGGCTTTCAATGCAAAGTCAATGGTGACGCGCGTTCGAGCGTCAAAATACACAAACGTCTCGGAATGCACGCTGGGAAGTCGAAGGGGAGGAACGCAGGAGATGGATTTTGCTTAACCTTTCCTCGGGACGTTTGTGCAGCAACCAATCAGAGAGCCGCAAAGTGGTCACGGGGACATTAGCGGACTAAACCAGGGTTGACAATGGGGGATACAGTGCTTGTTAACATGTGAGTTTTCATGCTCCCGTGACTTTATGCAACTTCTTCGAGCGTGTTCGCCGATGCGGAAATACCGTTTTATAATAAAATAATCTTATTGTGCACCTCCGTGAACACATACTGTTATATAAAGTCCGTGGAAGGTCTCTGACACAGACACGCTGCAAAGCTGCATTATTGGAGAAGAACTTTACACAAGAAACCGCCAGTTACACTCTGTTAGCATCAGAGCCCGTCGGCTATTTACGGCACTTCCGGCGCGTGCCAGGACCTCTGGTCTGAAGACCCCTGCGTCTGAAAACTAGAGAACATGCGTTTCAGCGTTGCCG